CAGTTTGTACTGAAGAAATTATGACATAATGGGATTCAGCATCTATACTAGGAAATGAACCTAACAGTCATGAGTTGAGTAAAGGGCTTTAGAGTTAATCTTCCCTCTAGATGTGTTCAACCACAAAACAGCACATGTTCAAGACATAAACAAGGCAGTTTACGGATGAATGGGCAGGTCTGTTTGTTTTTATGAAGCTCATGAAAGGTACTGAATCTGTTACAGTATTTACTTTGTCATTTTTCTCCTTGTACTTAAAACAGCATAAATAAAATTGTTGTGTGGTCTGAGTTCTGAATGAATAGTGGTTGTTCTAAATAGTAGTTGTAGTTGTAATTTTTATTTATCTGTTGAGATTGTGGAGCTAAAAAAATTAGCTGGCAATTCAATGGAAAAATTAAAATTTAGTGAGCAAAATAATCAGTTGGTCACATTTTAAAAACATCTTTTAAGCCCTGTGGGCAGTGCGAATAGTCCAAAATTACAGCCCCAAAATCAGAAATAGTTGCCAAAATTTGTATTTTCTTTTATTTATCTTAGGATGTTGACTTTTCTTAGTTAAAGAAAATTATTTTACTTAAATTGTGATTACTTTTGTTCACTCATGCCCTTTAAACAGAAGTTTAAATACTTCTAGACTTCAGGTTCTTTAAAGTTAGAACCTTTGTGTATGACATGTTTTTGAATTTCTTTGCCCAGCGTATACATGTACCTATTTGTCGAACAAATGAAAAAACCAATAACCTAGTGTTCCAACTTACTCTAAATGCTGATCCTACACAACTTCACTTTGAGAACATCTCGAAACAACAGCCCTACACCCAAATTCAGATTATTAAGTAGATGGAGTGAAGTAAACAGTGCTATTTATGGAAGAATGTTTATTGAAAACTTTGAAAACAAAAACAAATTGAGTTCTTGAGAATCCTTTAAATATTGTATCCATACTAATTTTTAAGTGTCAATGCTGGACTTGGAATGAAATAAACAGTGCTATTTATGGAAGAACGTTTAATGAAAATTTTCATTGAAGACAAAAGAACAACTTGAGTTTTGAAGAAAATATTTAAAATGTTGAATCAGTACTAATTTTTAAGTCTCAATGCTATATGGCTACTAAATAATAGTGATGCTGAATTTCACCAAAACTGAAAAATTAATTTCCAAAATCTTTTTACTCTCAGTTTTTGTTTAAGTAACTACAGTTTTGTTAATTTGTTTATCAAAATATTTTAAGATAGCTATTATATAACAAGATGAGTTTTGAAAGAAGTGATGTGTTACTTTGTGTGTGTGATTGATTTGGGTGTGTAATGCTGTCTCTTTCTCTGTTTTAGACTTCTGTTATACTTGGAATTTTAAGACTCTTTTTCTTTATTATTTAGAGGACATATCTGCTATAATCATAAACAGGTTATTAAAAATCTTTGGCTGTATTAGCAACCTTCCAAAGGCTGTTTACAGTTGTGATTAAGAACATGAGCTGGCTGTCTACTTTCTAGCAATGTGACCTTGAGCAGGGTGTTTAACCTTTCTGTGTCTCTTTGTTCATCTGTAAAAGAGATAAAAACAATACCTACCTTACAGAGTAGTTAGATTTAAATGGAGTAATACATGTAAAATGCTTGGAAAAATGCTGATATATAGTAGACTCAAATATTAGCTCAATTATGATTATAATTCTTTTCAGAGATAGAATTTAGGCCTCAGTCATAAATGTGCCTACCCTATATAAGATGGACTTTAAAATAGAACTGATTTGAGCTTGAATGTTTCTTTGCATTTTGGTTCCATCACATTTTAGGGTGAATTATTTAATCTTTCTGTGCCTTTATTTTCATCAGAAAAATGGTAATAGTAAGGCCTTGCCAGTGTTCTTGTAAAGATGAAGTGTAATTGTGTTTATAAAGATCTTAGAGTGCTCGACATCAAATAACCTTTGGTGACTGGAGGTAGCGACAGTTGTGATGGGTGCACTGAGTGTGTGTGAGGTGGCAGTGAAAAGTGGTTAAGAGCAGGTGCTTTGGAAACACGGGGCTCTCTCTGGCTGTGCCCTGGGGTGTTGTGGGACTGAAATGACAATGCATGTAAAATGCTTAGCTTAGTAAATAACACTTCATTAGTATCGCATGTTAGCTGTCACACAGTAATGGAGTAATGAGTCTTCATACGTGGTCCTTCAATACTTGATTTTCTGTAAATATATTAAGGGCTTTAGGGTTTTTTGTTGAATAATAACTTTTTTCTTTACCTTTATTGCTCTTTTTCATATTTCTAATCAGGATTATTAAAATGAGTCTTCGGAAGCAAACCCCTAGTGACTTCTTAAAGCAAATCATTGGACGGCCAGTTGTGGTAAAATTAAATTCTGGAGTGGATTATCGAGGTAATATTTTAATGTTCCATCCTCACTGGTGTAACTTAATAAATGAATGTGACTTACAGATTTTTATTAACCTCTTAAATATACCCAATAGTCTAAAAAATTAGTGGACATCAACAGTTTTTATGCCCTCTTTTTCTGCCTCTGAGATGGTTTCTTTTAGAGAGACAACTTTGTCGATTGAGTGTGCTTCTGACTTTGAGTGTGATTTGTGTGACTTTATGTCCTGTCTCTGCTTTGAGATAGCGTGTGTCTAAGTTCCCTGGTAGGGATTCCTAGTCAAGTTAGGAGTGAATGACTAGACTGAAGAGCACCGTGGTACAGCAGCATTTGTTTTTGTAGGCGTAGTCACTGTAGGCAAGCAACTATGCAGATAGTATAATTTTACAGCATGAACTTCATGTTTATATAACATGTGGGGTGTCCCAACATGCCTCTCTGTTCTTGTAGAGAATACTCTCTTTTAAAAGGCTGTGATACTTCTGAAATAAACTTTATGGGGAAGAGGGAATCAAATTCCATTTTTTAGTGTTACTAAATTCTTAATCCTCCAAATTTAAGGTATGTCAAATTACCTGGAATTTTCACATGTATAGCTAACTAATTCATTAGCAGAGTGTCTTAGTCTGTTTGGGCTGCTATAACAGAATACCACAGACTGGGTAATTTATAAAAAACAGAAGTGTATTTTCTCACAGTTCTGGAGGCTAGGAAATCCAAGATCAAGGCGCCAGCAGGTTCGGTTGTCTGGTGAAGGCTGTATCCCCTGGAGGGGAGAAATGCTGTGTTCTCACATGGCAGAAGACAGAAGGGCAAGCTAGCCAGTTAGTGGGATGCTGTGTGAAGCCTCTTTTACAAGGGTTCTCATTCCATTCATGAGAAAGGAGCTTACTCACCTCTTACTAATACTGCCATAGTGGGCTAGGCCTGGTGGCTCACACTTGTAATCCTAACACTCTGGGAGGGCGAGGCAGAAAGATCGCTTGAGCTCAGGTGTTGGAGACCTGCCTGAGCAAGAGCAAGACCCCATCTCTACTAAAAATAGAAAAATTAGCTGGGCGTTATGGCGGGTGCTCCTGAAGTCCCAGCTATTCCGGTGGCTGAGGCAGGAAGATCACTTGAGCCCAAGAATTTGAGGTTGCAGTGAGCTATGATGATGCCGCTGCACTCCAGCCTGGGGTGACAGAGCAAGACTCTTTCTCAAAAAAAAAAAATACTATCACATTGGCAACACCTGAATTCTGGAGGGGACACATTTAAACCATAGCACAAAGTTGTGTTGCCTTTTCTTGGCCTCTTTTGTGAATAATAACTAATCATGATAATCTCTTGAGCTTTTTCCTTTTCCTACACATGCGAATATTATTTTATTGAGAGCTTACTACATGCCCAGTGTGTGTTAATCACTTTAATAAACATTTTCATTTTATCTTCACAAAAATCCTTTGAAATCTCTGCTGGTTGTTTCCCCCTAGTAAGAGAGGAGCTAGGACTCAAATTCAAGCTTGAGTCAGAAGCCGTTGTTAAGAAACCACTCTGGTGATGATGGACTGCTTTAGTTTCTTGACATTACTAACCTATCCCCAGTTTAATTTGATTTTTATAGCAAAACTAATGGATTTATACTGACTACTGAGATATTGTAAAGTATCTGTGTACTGCCTCTCACCATGAACTTTTGATGAGCCCAAAGTAGACTTACAGGGATCTGAGTACATTTGACAATTGATTAGAGTAGAGACATTGTGTTCAGTATCTTCTCAGGACCCACTTTATCAAAGAGGTCAACCTGACTTTTTGTTCTCTATACTCTTTAGGGAAAATTTTTCTGTTTATGACGATAATTCATGTTTTAGTTCTATTTTGTTATTAGAAATTTAAAAGCAAACAGTGGAGAAAAATATAGAAGAAAGCAAAATCTCCCCAGATTCTCCTATCCAGAGATAATCAGCTTTACCAAATTTGACCTCTGTATATGTAAGCATAATTTTACATAAATGGAATCAGCTGTATATGCAACCTGACTTCTTTTTTATGCTAAACAATACATTTAGTTCTGTTACAATACAGAGATTTTAATGCCTACATCGGAATCCGCTGTGTGGATGTACCGTAATTTTCTTTTTGTTTTTAATCAGTTTCCTAATAATGGACATTTAGTTGTTTACAGATTTTTTTGCTTTTGTAAACAACTCTGCTCCTTTGACATATATCTTGAACACCTGCCCGAGTATCTCTTTAGAATAAATTCCCTGGGTTAGGATTTCCAAGTCAAAGAGTATGCCAAGAGGCTCTTCGGCCAAGAGTATGCAGGTTTATCCTTCTGCATGTTCTCACCAACCCTTATATTAGCCTTGTTCATCTTTTCCACTCTAATTGGGAACAAGTAATATCTCATTTTATTTATATTTTCTCTGTTTACTAGTAGTGAGATTAAACAGCCTTTCACATGAGTAGTAACCATAGTTTTTCTCCTTTTATGAATGTCTGTTCTTGGCCTCTATACGATATTAAAGTAAAATGTTTCATACTATTAGAGAGCCTTACTAAAATAATGTGTTTATTCTTTAGTAAAAACACCTAATAGCTCTCTGTAGCAGTTTCTTTTTAAGTTTGAAGAAAATTTCTTGTTTTCTATTACTTAGAGTAGTTTATCCCATGGAGAAGGCAGAGGGTTGTAATTCTAACCTCATGGACAGGTTATTTATTTTTTTAAACCTTTGCTATGGAGAATAGATGTTTTGAGTAGAAGTGAACATTTCATTTGGAAATTCTTTTTATTATTTTTCAAATAGATTTGCATATCAAGTCTCAGAAGTTTCTTGCTCATTTATACTTGTGCTTTAGATGTAAAATAATACAGCAGGAAACAAAATAAAGTTGTATCAAGATTTCTTTTCCTAGAAAATAATTGTTATGAATTGTTCACAATCCATTCTGATTCTTTGAAAGTTTATAGCTTATAGCAGAATTCTGTTAGATTAATGTCCTATGCTCTCATCGCTTTCTCAGACACACACACACACACACAATTTTGAAAAGAAACGTTTTTGTTTAGAGGATAAATGGGGGCAGAGGCAGAGAGTGAGAAGCATATTAATGAAGTTAAGACTTTAAATGAAACTATTGACTTGGCTAATGGAATCGAATCTGTAATATTTGTTTTTACTTAAATTTTTTTCGTAGAAAATACTGCTTTAAATTAGAGACAGAGTTAGAGGCTTACAGATTTTCATCTTTTGAAAAAAATCTCCAGGTCAAATTTTGCAAAATTTATACCATCTTAGCACAATTAAAAAGATTGACTCAAACTGTTTCCTTGAAAGCTCCCTAGAATGTTTTCAGCCATTTTCTCTATTAGTTTTGATTGGAAAATATTATAACTGTAACAAAACAGAATGGGATGTGTTACAATGCAATATGTTGCCCTGTGTTCTCAAGCTGCTCTTCACTGTGAGTCACAGCTTTGAGATGTTCTTTCAGGAGCACCTGCTGTCTCCTCTTCTATTATTTTAACAGATTGTGGAGACTTCCTCTTAACCTTGGAGTACATTCATCTGCTGCAGTAGATGTTGTGAAAGAATGAAATAAATCTGCCAGACCCGTATTTCACTTAGTGGCTAAAGTAAGAAATGCCACTGGAACCGAGGATCATTTGTTCATGCATAATTGCCCACTCCTGTCCTTAGCTTTCAAAGAATGTTATTTTAGTTGGAATATTCTTATTTTTTTACTCTTGCGAACAGTTTAAAAGTTGCTTTGTGATCATACAGATGACGAGGGAGATGACAGTTCGTTATTTTTCCTGGTGGTAGTGGGTGCGTGACTGCTTTCCTAGCCTGCATTCACATTGGCATAGAGTAAAGACTTGTTCTGTGCTTAGGTCTGTTGCGTTTCATTTACAGTGTGGATTTTTATATTAAGCATCTAGAAGCTAATGAATAAAGAGATCGTGAGCTCTTAGGTATACCCTGCAATTTTTCAACTCTTGTTTCCTTTGTATATCTTCTTTTTGACTAAATCTGCCTGCAGGGGTCCTGGCTTGCCTGGATGGCTACATGAATATAGCCCTGGAGCAGACAGAAGAATATGTAAATGGACAACTGAAGAATAAGTATGGGGATGCATTTATCCGAGGAAACAACGGTAACATTTCTTCACTCTACAGTTGTACAGCATCCAAAATAAGCTTGTTTGTTTATAATCTGGATCACCAGAGGGTTTTTTAGATAATTCGAAAGTTCAGTTTTACTTTTGATGATTTTTAAGTGCGTCTATGTTGGATCTTCAGTGTGACCAGTTCTTTTTTAGATGCTTCATGGAATTTTGGAACTAGATATTCTCTCCTCCTCTTCCTTTACTGATGAGGAACTGAGGGAGGGCCATTGGTATACTGATCCAGGACCCTGTTCTCTTGAATGTAGTTTATTATATTCTACCAACAAGTATTCCAGCCTCTCATAGTCTGGAAGTCGGAGCCGTAAGAATGGGCACATTTCCCTTCTATCTTTGGTTTGCATAATTTGACACTTAGTCTTATTTGTCCTTTCTCTATTAAACATTCAGATGCTTTTTGTGGCGATTTGTACCCGTTAGTTTGACAAAAAAGGCAGAATAGGAAATATGGTCCTAAAGTTACTTACTTTTTAACAGGTAATATATTGCTATGATTATTGTGGTTATTTTTAAGCACATAGTTTCAAAATGAAAATTATCAATAAAGTCATATTGGAACTTTTGGCAGGGAGGGGAAGACATCAGAATTATGAGAATTATCCATTGACCAATTTCTCCTTTTTGTTCCCATCCTCCAAATAGAACTCTGGGATTCTTGAGTTCAGATTTTTTATTGATTTCTTTAATTCTGGATAACATCTTCAACCCCCTTAACAGTGATAGTTGGATCTCTTTGCTGTGAATTAAGCATTCGGTTACAATAGATATGCCATCCCCTGTTCTTACAGTGCCAAATTTTTTCATGTATTTTTTTATACATCTTTTGCTTCCTTTTTAGTCCTAACATGTAGAATTCCTTCTATTTTCATATTGTTCTTATTCGACGTCCTCCTTTTCCTAAGAAATGTTGTGATCTTGCCTCATCTCAAGACAGCTGAAAGCAGCAGTCACCAGCCGGCTAGGTTCTGTGAGTGTTCATAGGGTAGATCCTTTCACATACACTGTATCTGGGACTTGTCCAGTTTCCCAGGGGGGTTATACTGGCATTCTGACACTTCCTCTCTCGTTGCCTCTTCCATGATACAATCAGTGATAGTTATTTTTAAATTTCCAAATTCACATCTTTGGATCCTGACTTATTTGATAAATCTATGCTGTACTTTTTGACCAAGGCATCTCTTAATGTTCACTTTGAACAAATATGTCAGAATCTGAGTCAGCATGGGGGTGAGAGGGCACATATACCTCTGGTAAAAGCTTGAGCCAGTCAGCTAATTTTGTCTTCTTCTTATGTGTCACATGTCCTAAAGAGTTCAGTTGGGTGGTCATGATAGGACTAACTAAGCAAAACTTTGGATAGCACTAAAAATTGAGACTTTAACAGGGAATTCAGAATAAGGACTTTGGTATCTTTAAAGAAAATAAACTCCTCAGCTTTTGTTTATCATGTTGCAATTAAAAAAGTAAACAGCAAGTTTAGAGTTTATATTGAGGAGATGGATGAAAATAGGATATTTGTTCTTAATTTGAAATATAGCCTGGTAGATTTACTGATTTACTTTCCTAAAATATAATTCTTATCCTTCTAATTATTAAGCATTCTTAGATTCCAGGGACTTTGACATATGTTTTATCTTCCTGGTCACAATTTGCAAAGTAAATCACATGCATAGGTAAGATTAGGACACAGTTTTATAAGACATCAAACCCAGGTCTAGGTCATAAAACTGGTCATATAGTGGTTCTGAACTTAATTGTATGGTATGAGAATTCCTTTTAAATTTCAGAGATGTTGGGCCAAAATCTGTTTTGCTTTTAACACTTGCTACTGTGATATTTAAGAGCAGGATTTTTTCAATTTATTTCTTTTTTCTTTCCAGTGTTGTACATAAGCACACAGAAGAGAAGAATGTGAAGACACCAAGAGAGCAATACTTTTCATAGTTGGATATATTTTTTATGAATTTTTTTTTCTCTATTTTTTGGTTCTTTCATGATATAATTTGTCCTGTTTTTATAATAATTGGCAATTTTCATTGACTTATGAATAAGATAAATGTATAAAATTGTGGATTTAATTGTGAAGTGTTCTTTCACATAAGTTTCAGTCATTTTCTTTTACCTTTGTATCAGTGTACAGAATGCTAAAAGAATAAAAAAGAAAAAAGACAAAATCTACCTCGTCCTACAAGATTATTTAACTTAAATTTCACGCAAGATCATTTCATTGGATTTGCTCTATTTATCCGGCTGACTAAAATGATGCCTACAGTGGACATATAATTAAAACATTTCAGAAGTGTCCTTTATTCCATCCTCTTCTGTTTGCCATACAAAATTCTGGGACGAATATGTTCTACAAAGGCATCTAGGTTCAGTCTGAGGCTATAAAAAGGGGCCACAGGGTCAGAAGTTCAACCACTGTTTCAGTCACCTAAATAGAAAATAGAATTGGGAGCTAACAGTGGCACTTCCACAAAAGGAGTGGGAATCCGAACAGAGGTGGGGGGAGAAATTCTAAAGATTAACAGTACGCCAGTTAGCTGAAAACCTTCCTGTCCGCAGTCACCCTGTGCAATTAGACTTTTTAGGTTTTCCTGCTGCCTTTCAGGAGCACTGGCATCAATGTTACTCTCTCGGTTTATGAACACAGCGGGGGAGGAGCCATTCCTGTACATCTCTGGCAGCCCGTTAGATTAAAGCAAAGCCTAGAGTTTATAACCTCTTTCAGGTTGCAATTGCTAAACTGTGATTGGGGAAGAATTTCTCCTAACTCTTGCTTAGCAAGTGGCTTTAGGGAAGCCTTTCTCTAAAATCAGAGCTGCGTTTGAACGTGACGTTGTCCAGGAGCAGAGCACCAAGGCTTTATGTTGCTTGGCACAAGGCAGCTCCTCTGGGTTATGTGACTCCTGCTGAGAGGGTTTTCACAATTTATTAATGAGCTTTCCACAACCCTGCTTTATTCTCCGAACAGTTTTACGCTGTCTCTAGGAACAACAAATATATCTGGGCACTGTGGTTGAGTGAACACCAGACAATCGTGTGAATGTTGTATTGGCCTTTTTCTTCCCTCCCACCCCAATATAAATAGAATTCCCGTTTCAGGAGCCGGTGGTGGGACTTAAAACAATTGCCTGGTTGAAGGATGTGGGAGCAGGATCAGGAAGGAGGGAGAGAAGGGCGGTGCTGGTTCTGGAGAGGTGTATGTGGTGTTTTGTCTTGTTTTATTTTAAATATCAGAGAGTAATTGGAAACAATTATTTTTTAATTAATAACTCAGGAAAGGTGAACAGAAACATTTCACAAGGTTTTCCTGGTTGTACACCAAAAATAAAACACTTTATGCTGTGCTTCAATAATTTATCACTTCTTGACAGGGGCTTGAAAAGGGTCCAGTCTGTAAGTACAAATCACCAATTTGCTCTTTTATAAATGACTTCTTTTAAGGAGAAAATGGATGTCCCTCCAAGTGGAGCATGCATGGTCTCATTTGTTTTGTAGAATATGTGGGGCTGCCAGGTTACTGTGTCCTCAGTCACTTACATCAGCCGCCTTTAAAAGCAATTCCATTGTAGTCTCCCACCAATCTATAGCATCCTATTTTTGCTAACTTCTTCTCTGACCTCCCCTTCACTATGTAAGTCTTGATTTCCCCCTTGCCATCTCTCTAGTTTAACAGCTCTGTGGTGGAGTAGTGTTTTCAACTGTGGAAGTACTTTTAATCAAGATCGACTTTGGGAAATGCTACCATTTTTATGGTAATAAAGGACTGTAGTATGCACTTGGACCAGCACAGGTTGTCCCCTGTGTATGCCTTCATGTAGTAGAACCATCAAACAGTGTAAATGCTCAAATTACTTTTTTCTTAACTGTAGTCTCCTAGAGGTCAGTGAATGATTTCCAATTGCTCCGTAGCAAGGACATTGGTTCTAGATTGAAGAATTTTTTACTCGAATAAATACGTTTTCCCTCTCTCTGTGCCCCCAAACCCTGGCTGCCACACTCTTTATCTTGGGCTGTGACAAAACAGAATGTTTTGTGAGAAACAAAATTGTGCTTGATTTTTAGATTATCTGACTTCATGTTCTGTTTTGGTCTTTGAGCTATTCCTTGGCTAATCTTCCAACAAGTTGAATTGATTCTTATTTCAAAACTGTTTATCCCAAAACAGAGCTGTTGACAAGTACAAATACAGATGGCAGACATGTGGTATGATTTTCATGTTCTCATCTCAGCATTCAGGAAGGGAATGTTATTGAGAGATGGTTTACATCTTAAGCCTTTTGCTCAAGGCAATATGGAATGCATGCGAAGGAGTGCTTAATTATGTGACAAATAGTATCAAATGCTTAAGGGATTTCCTTAAGGTCTAAAACCATGGCAGCATCAGACTTGGCTCATCACCCTGGAGGCTATAATAATCTGTAATGATGGAAGCAACCTCTAGGGGGAAAAATTGTATTTGATAGTCATACTGACTCACGGGTGACCTCAGTACAGCATTCCAGGCCAGAGATCCAGTGTGTTCCCTTACTGTGGACAGACACACCCATTGTAGCACTGACCTTTGTCCTCATAGCAAATGATCCTCCAGGGTACTGGCGAATTCTTGTATTCAGAGGCAAATCACAGCCCATGCTATGGCCTTGCCATTCTCCACTGCTAAACTGCATTAACCATTATTTTTTTTTCTCTACAAAAAGAAATCGTTGGTGAAAGGAAGACAAACTGCAATTTTCTTCTCCCTGACCTTGTTTTAGGAGGCTGTGTGCTCAGCAACATGCCTGTGACTGCCTTTACTAAGGTTGTGCCCGATCATTGTTGAGCCCGATGCCACCCAAGAGTTGCAGGGTTTGTCCTGACCTCTCTGAGGTCTGAATATCTGCAACTATTAATATTTTAATTCCAGTAGCTGCTGCCTCTTTGTAACGGTACACAGCAGTGCAACGGTGAGTGTCTCTGTTGTTGACCGACCAGCTTACACTCACCAATGGAGTCCAGTTAGCTAAAGTGAGACTGCAGGAGTGGACGGGTGATGGTGGGACATTGCCATGTATGACAGGACAGTGAAGAGAACCCTCACCGATACCTGCTGTGTCCCTCTTTTAGAAGATGGATTTGAGAAAGTGGAGGCAGGAATCAATTAAGCATTTATTGAGTGACAGTTGTAGGCAGGCACAGTGCTATGCTCTATGGGGGATAAAGGAAATAGGACATTGTTCATGCCCTCTGTACTGAGTTTGTAGGTTTGGTTATTTATGGGGCAAAGTGATCCTATCTTTTTTTTTAATGGGGCCAAAAAAATTCTTTTAAAAATCTGAACATTTTGGTGGACTTAATAACTCTATGTACATAGCTTGAAATTCCATATAAACTCAGGAGTGGATACTTTGAAATCTGATTATCTTCATTTATTTATCCCCTCTTCCCCCCACAGGCCCATGTGATTCAGCCTTCCATCTTTATACTCTTTTTTTTTTTTTTTTAACATAGCAAAAGCCAGATTTTCTGTGGTTTAACTGAACAACCATGTTGAATGTTTTTTATTCGAAGACCAGTTTTAATTCATCTGCAGTATTGAAGGATTTTTCTTTTCTTAGTAATTTGGGAGTTACAGCAGAAAGAAAGGTACACATATTGTAGGAACTTCATAAAATCATAAAACACTGAAACAGTGAGGATAGACTAGTTTTCAAGGCCTAGTTTTAGTTTACAAAAATGTTCAAATCCATATGGACTCCATTTATTCCAAGTTTTATAATGGACTGGATGCCGGTGGGTTTGGCAAAATCTGCCAATAATTTGGCTTAAAGGAGAAACCAATTTGTGAAAAGTTTACATAAAATAATGTTAGAGAGTTTTATTACCATCATGTGCATGCAGTATTTCACATCACTGCTCAGTGTTTATATCAAATAGAAGTCCTATTGAACTTGAAAATATTAGAAAGTTAAAAATTTGTAATGTGTACAGTTAGGTGGATGTTGCTAGGATACAAGACTTTTTCTTTCTTTTTCCAAGTAGTGGATCAGTCACAAACAACCCCCAAATCTCAGTGCTTTGAAATAGCAAATACTTCTTACTCATGGTGCATATCCGAAGGAGCCAGAAGATGGGACTCTGCTCATTGTGGTCACCTGGGGAGACAGGCCGAAGGAGGCAGCACCTTATGTTTCTACCATCACAACGTGATTCAGGGCTTGATGCTCGGGGAAGAGCATAAACAATCACTCGGTTCTTAAATACTTGTGCTTAAGACTGGTGTCGCTTCTATTCCATTTTACTAGCCAAAGCCAGTCACATGGCCATGGTTTACTTTAAGTTTTCAGGAAAGTGTGTAATTGTTTCATGGACCCAGGAGAGAAAACCAGAAATACTGGTGAACAGTGGTAATACCTACCACAGTATGTGTATTAATCATGGTTCTCCAGAGAAACAGAACCAACAGGATGTGTAGAGAGAGTGAGATGTTTATTTTCAGGAATTGGCTCACATGATTGTGCAGGCTTGGCAAGTCGAAAAACTGCAGGGCAGATCGGCAGGCTGGAGACCCAGGGAAGAGTTCCAGTTCAGGTCTGAAGACTGTTCGCTGGAAGAACTCCTCGTCCTCCAAGGAGGTCAGTGTTTTCCTATCAAGGCAATTGATTCCATGAGCCCCAACCATACTATGGAAAGTAATTTGTTTTATTCAAAAAGTCTACTTATTTAAATGTTAATCTTGTCTAAAAAATACCTTCAATGCAACACCTAGAATAATGTCTGACCAAGTAGCTGGGAACCATGGCCTACCCAAGTTGATACGTAAAATTAACTATCCTGGTATGTTAACCCTATATCCTTTGCATTATAAATTTTCTTAATCCTTAATAAAGCATACAGAAGTATAAAGTCTCAGTGAGATTTTTATCGCATTGAAAAAAGAATCCTTTCTTTGTTAAGGTGGGGGTTGAGGGACCTGTGCTCCTGGTGTCTTCTTAATCACATCTTCATTAAATTCCAAAGAAAAATAGTGACTCGTTCCTTCCTGGTTTCAGAAGCTGGGTCCGGATAGATTGTTCCGGTTTGATTTGTTGTTGCAAGTTAACTTAAAAATTCTCAAGTAATATATTTACAAAATGCAGAAGATAAGAGCAACCTTTCCATAGACCCAGTAGCACTATCTAAAGCCAAACAAGTGTGTTCCATCCACATAC